TGTAGTATAAGGTATATTATATTATAGGTAAAACTTAATGTATAATTTTTGAAATTCAAATTAAGATATATAATTTAAATAATTTAATATTTATTTTGTGATTTATGCAGTGTAAGATATAACCTGAGGTAATTATTATTGTACCTATTTGCCCACAAATCTCGAAAACAAATCCAATATTGTATAGTTATATTTCTATTTTTTAAATTCATTTCTGATTTTTTTTCTGTTTTTTTTATTAGAAATAGTGGGCCACACAAATCCAATTGTGTGGGCTGGCCCAAGTTGGATAACTCCATTAACCAACCTGAAGAACATGGTGATCGAGGGTTGCCAGTTGGAACATTTGCTTCCTTTGGGGAAATTGCCTTCTCTAGAATCACTCAAAGTAGATTCAAATTACAAAGTGAAAAAGGTGGGAGTTGAATTTTTGGGGATAGAAACGTCTTTGTCTCCATCTTCATCATCCGTTTTCGCCTTCCCCAATTTGAAGTCACTGACTTTTAACTTGATGGGAGAGTGGGAAGAGTGGGATTATGAAAACAGAGGAGAAGAGGATATCACAATCATGCCACGTCTTTCTTCCTTGACAATTAATTGTTGTCCAAAGTTAAAGATGTTGCCGGATTATATTCTCCAAAGTACTACCCTGCAAGAATTGAGAATTGTTTACTGTCCAATTATTTCAAAACGCTGCAAAGAAGACTACCAGCCCTTTATCAACCGCATTCCTCACTCCAAAGTGTTAGACTAAGACTGGGGAGTCGAACTCAGACTTTGAGTAACTCGCAAAAAAGGAAGGTACTGTCTAATTTTGCTTTGCTCAGTGTCCTTACCCTATTTGATTTTATTTGTTGGCAAGCAATGGAGCGAAAACCCATTAATTAGCCATACACATTCAAATAATAATATTAAACCAAACAAATTACTAGTAAATGTAGAAGTTGATCTTTTTGCATTCTTTTCCTTTCTTTAAAAAAAGTTGCCGTTTTATAATACAAGATGCATTGTGGCTGAATTTTACTTTTTTTTTTTTTTAATTTTCAATTTTTAAGGTATTTATATTTCAATTGATATAACATCCTATTTAGTGATTTATGTAATTTGAGGTAATTGTTATTGCTCCTTTTTCTTTCCCACACCATGGAAGCAATTTCATTTTTTGTTTTGCTTTTTCTAATTATTCTTTCTGATTCCCATTTTCTTTCCTTCTTTTCATTTTTGGGAGACCCGAAGTGCATAGTTTCAGTCTTTCAGAAGTTGTGTACATGGTGGAAGGATGATGGACCGGCCTGGCTCGTGGCGCCCACACCAGCTTCTATGTGTCAACTTTTTGGCAAAGCAGTTAGCTTCTGAATTTTTATTTTCTTAATTGAAGGGTTATTTTTGGGCTGTTTGTGTGCTTTAAAAAAAAAAAAAAAACACTTTCAAGTTTTCTTAGGATTTTCTTATAACCCATTTTCCTATTAAAAAAACAAAAAGCCAACTAGGCTTTCACATGGGAATGGCTTGGCCTGTGTTACCCATGCCACATGCCAACCCGGGCACTGGGCATTAACAAGTGGGCTTTCATTTTCTTTGTGTGTTTTTGCTATTTTCATGGGTCATTTAGGATCGAAAATGAAAAAAAAAAAAAGAAGTTATCTTTCGTCTTTTTGTAATCTTTTTTTTTTTTTATGGCCTTGTAATGTTTGTTTTAACATAGTGAATTTTCATTTTGCCATTGAATGGCCGTGGATGTTTCCCTTCTTTGGGGTTTTACCACGTTAAAAAAAATTGGTGTTCTCTTCTTTACTTTTAATTGTTGAATAGTTTAATTATATATAGTTGAATCTGACTTATATAATAATCAAAAGAGTTAGTATACCTTTTTAATATAAAATTAGAGTTAAAGAACCAAAAAATGTGTTTATACCAAAACAAATGACAGTAAATTTGACTTGTAATGATATTTGAGTTGAAATTTATGGGTCAAGAAAAAAAAGGCCAAACTATATGGCTTACAGTGTTGTTCACTAACTTAGGTTTTTTAAAAATAAAATAAAATAAGAAGGGTTTAGTATACAATCCTATATCGGTTCTTTCCTTCCTTCTAAACTTTTTATACTCCCTCTCTTCCCACATTCCCTAGCAATTGTCGTATACCTATTCTTCTCCTTCACTTCCTTCACTTCATCAACTAGTTCGTCATTGCATAGGTAACTATTTTTCACTTAAGTTTATTGATTTTTTAAGTGATTAAAATCTTGTTTAAGATATGATGAACATGAAAAGATTAAGTTTTTAATCAAGTTATTTTCATTCTACATGAAATTTGATTGTGCTGGATTTTATTTTTGTGCGGAATTTGTTTTCTACCACAACAAAATACAATTTTTATGTGGAATTTAATTTTTTGATGGTCTGAGGGAATTTTGGTCCTTATACCAATTTCCTCTGTTTTCCATTCAATTTTTATGGAGGTAATTTCTTAATTTTTGTCATTTTTTTCTCAACTAACTACTATTTTGATTTTTACACATAATGTTCTTCATGTGCAACCTTTTAACAATAGTTACCTCTCTTATTAGACAAATAATATTAAAAAAATAACGAATTAAGAAAGTTACCTCTCTTATTAGAAAAATAATATAAAAAAAATTCTAAACAGTAAAAAGACAAAGTAGACACTTGAAAGTACAAAGAAGAAACCGTTGTATTGGCGTCCAAGAAAGATCCCACCGACCCCCGCACACATTTCATATCTTCAAAAGAGCACACAGATTCCATTTTCCTTATCCCTTCATTTTCCCCTCAAAATTTTCCATCATTTTCACGGAGAAATTACCCAAGCGTTCCAGCACCCATGCCTTCCCCAGTCGGCTCCCCCACAAGCTGCCAGTCGGTGACTCAGACCGTCAACGGTCCTCACAGTTTCACTATCAAGGGCTACTCCTTGGCCAAGGGCATGGGCATCGGGAAGCATATAGCCAGCGAGAGCTTCACCGTCGGCGGCTACCAGTGGGCCATCTACTTCTATCCCGATGGTAAAAACCCGGAAGACAATTCTACCTATGTCTCAGTTTTCGTTGCCCTAGCCATTGAGGGCACCGACGTTCAGGGCTCTCTTCGAGCTCACACTTTTGGACCAGAGCGGAAGGGGCAAGCATAAAGTGAGTAGCCATTTCGATCGCGCTCTCGAAAGGGGCCCTTATACGCCCAAGTATCGGGGCAGTAGGTGGTGAGTTGATTCTTCAAGAAATTGCTGTGGATTCTATTTCATTCTTAGGCAACTTCGATTATTCATAGGATACATAAATTTGTTTAGCTTGTATAGTTATCTGAGAAATTTTTCGTAAAGCTATATAAAAAAGTGTGTAATTTGCAAGGTGATTCATGCCGTAGATAGATCTTAGAACAAAGGAAGCCAGTGGAGATCATCATGAGGTAATTAAATTGTGATCAATTGATTATCTAATATGGAAAAAAGATCTAAAGAAATGACTAATGGCATGCATAACTCAAAAATTCTGAACTTGTTGAGGGGGGATGATTAGGAGAAGGGATTGGCAAACAGAATGGGATTTCTATTCTTATTGAACTGTTTTTTAATCTTGACTAACTCATTGAGGGAGTGAATCTTGTTTAAAATGAGCAGGAATTGTATCCATTTTCATATCAAGAAGATTCAATGAATTTTCAAAGGTATTATAAACCTAGATTCATAAAGTTTTCCTCCATAATTATTGAACTTATGAAAGAATACCTTTCTTGATGGAGTTCTTGAAAATCATAATTACAATTTCAAGGCAAAGAAGTAGGTAGCTAGGTAAGTACTATGTATTATCTTCCCCTCCTCCACAATAGATCTTGCTATATTTAATTATGCTGTTATGATGCAACCCTTACATATTCAAATTTTATTTGTCATCTATCTCCGTCTTTCTTAAACTTGTGGAAATTTTCATTTAGTCATGATTATAAGTCACATATTGCACTTTAATACGTATGTTGTTATTGTTTCAGATCTTAAAATGCATTTATTTCTAAATGGCATGTGCAAGAAATAAGCACATGGTTGTCCTGGGTGCACAATGCAGTCGTTTTCTTTCTGTTGTGGGAATTCTGAAATTCTATG